CTCAGCCTGAAAAACAGTGGCATAGCTTCTCAAGGGAAAGTGAAGTTTGGTACCATCATTGGAGCAGTAAATTCCTGCTCCTGATTTGAGATCAAGCCTTGAACCATCAGTGTACCATTTTAGACATTTGCCTTTAAGCCACCGAGGAGAATTGAACCATTCATCTCTAGTAAGAAAATGGATCTTTGAATGGCTTGTGAAAAGCATATCTTAGTGACATATAATCACTAGGCGCAAGGCCGGATTTACGCATAAGCTAAATAAGCTGTAGCTGGGGGCCCCGAGATGACAAGGGCCCCCAGATCCTACTTTCCACCCTCTTTTTTTAAAGTTTTATTCGAAACTGGGGCCCTCAGAAGCCCAAAATGCATTTTTTTTCCTTTTTTACATTGTCGGACATAATAAATATAAATAAATGAATGAATAAAACAAAAAACTTCTTTGTCATTAGTAGGGAACATATAATATTTCAAGAAATTTGAGTATTAATAAATTATTTATAAATAAACAATTTTTCAGTTTAAAAGGTAGTTATTTTTTGCCCCATCATTCGATCATCAGACTATTTAATGTATCTGTTTCTAAGGATCAGGATTCCCTTTTATTTTACTTTTACTATTTGTGCTGGTGAAAATAATTATAATTACTATTTTAACTCCTGAAAACTCGAAGGCAGGGCCGGATTTACGTATAAGCTAAATAAGCTGTAGCTGGGGCCCCGAGATGACAAGGGCCCCCAGATCCTGCTATACCCTCTTTTTTTTAAAGTTTTATTCGGAGCTGGGGCCCTCAGAAGCCCAAAATGCATTTTTTTTCCTTTTTTACATTGTCGGACATAATAAATATAAATAAATGAATGAATAAAACAAAAAACTTCTTTGTCATTAGTAGGGAACATATAATATTTCAAGAAATTTGAGTATTAATAAATTATTTATAAATAAACAATTTTTCAGTTTAAAAGGTAGTTATTTTTTGCCCCATCATTCGATCATCAGACTATTTAATGTATCTGTTTCTAAGGATCAGGATTCCCTTTTATTTTACTTTTACTATTTGTGCTGGTGAAAATAATTATAATTACTATTTTAACTCCTGAAAACTCGAAGGCAGGGCCGGATTTACGTATAAGCTAAATAAGCTGTAGCTGGGGCCCCGAGATGACAAGGGCCCCCAGATCCTGCTATACCCTCTTTTTTTTAAAGTTTTATTCGGAGCTGGGGCCCTCAGAAGCCCAAAATGCATTTTTTTTCCTTTTTTACATTGTCGGACATAATAAATATAAATAAATGAATGAATAAAACAAAAAACTTCTTTGTCATTAGTAGGGAACATATAATCTTTCAAGAAATTTGAGTATTAATAAATTATTTATAAATAAACAATTTTTCAGTTTAAAAGGTAGTTTTTTTTTGCCCCATCATTCGATCATCAGACTATTTAATGTATCTGTTTCTAAGGATCAGGATTCCCTTTTATTTTACTTTAAAATTGTACAAATGATATATTTAATGCTTTCACGTGATATGCAGCAGTTTTAAACAGCACTTTAAANCTGCTGGATTGGGTTCAAAATGACAAGGCTACGGAGTTGAATATTAGTAGTCGTGAACTCGAAATTGGGTCGGCTGTGCAATGACTGTTATGAAATAAACTAATAAATTTAGCAGGGATAGCCAGGTTGATAGGGCGTTGGACTCATGTTCGTGAGAATGGGAGTTTGAATCGAGCCGGCAGATGAATACCCATGTATAAAATGGTGACTGGTGCATGTTAAATCTGTCGGGGTCACAAAGTCCTCCAAGTTCTCATAACAAATAAATACCTCTGGGTACTAATCTAGCAGTTCCCTTGTCTTCTGGATTGGGTTCAAAATTACGAGGCTACGGACTTGAATATTAGTAGTAGTAAACTCGAAATCGGGTCGACTGTGTAACCACTGTTATAAAATAAACTAATAAATATCAGAGTCTGTTAACTTGCCAGGTTGATAAGCATGCTGTGTGTAGGACTGTGGCTTATCTATGAGCACAGTATTTCTAAAGTATCTGTCAATAAGCTTTTCAATAGCTTTCAACAGACAGGAAGTGAGGCTAATTGGTCTGAATGATTTGGCCTCAAAGTAATTTTCCTTATCTGGTATTGGAATGAAAATTACACTGGTATTCCTCCAAGAGTAAGGTATATACCCAAATGCTATACAGGATTGTAAAATCCTACATAGAATAGGGGCTAATATGTTCACCCCCTGAATAAGCATTATTGGCATGATATCATCCATGTCTGGTGACTTGTAGGGCTTAAACGATTTGATAGCCCATACGACTTTTTCATAGGAGACCACCATCTTGGCGGCCTCCCAGTCATACTTATTACAAGTAGTTGTAGGATTATCATAAAAGATGTTCATTCTCTACGGGATGAGATCCAGGGAAATGAGCTTCAAGTAGTTCTCCAAAAGCTTCTTCCCCTGGTTCACTGTATCTGCCGCTTGTAAGACGGATGACATTTAGATTGCAATTAAAGTCTTTTATAAGGATTTTTGTAATCTTTGCGGTATCAGAAGTAGTGTTAATGTCATCGAAGAAAATCTGCCAAGAGCGACGTTTAGATGCCCTGATAGCCTTGATATAGGCAGTTAGAGCGTTTCGGTAGGACTGCCATTCTCCAGATTTCTTTGCTCTGTTAAATAGCTTCCTACATTTCTTACGTAATTTACTAAGCTCAGAAAACCACCAAGAACCTCGCCTTGGGGAACTAGTGGACGTAACATTACATGAAATACGATTTGAATCAAGTATGATCTGTTGCACTTAGTCAACTCTACATCATTAACATTATTGTACTGACCAGAGAAGCTCCCCATCTTCCTCTCCAGAGCTGCTCTAAAGGAACCCCAATCCACTGTTCTGGGGTTCCTCCTTATGACCTTCAGTCCAGAGAGGCCTTTAATAGAAAAAAGTAATTAGTTGGTGATCTGAAGCAGTAACTGCACCAGATACCTTTCAATCAGTAACGTAATCTATAGAAATAGAGTTACATAAAGTAAGGTCAATAACTTCCCTCCTGTTACTTATAACAAAGGTATGTTCATTGCCTTTATTAAGGGCATACAAATTAAAATATAAGCCATGTTCCATTATACTTCTCCCCGCTGGTTTCTATCACTGCTACCTCACACTGTGTGGTGCTCATTTGTATCACAGCCGAAGATGAATCTACAGCTTGAACCACAGTGGCCAATTATAGTTTTAGTAATATCAGTCAATGGGTCTTTCTCCTCATAGGGGAGATAGGCAGGAACAATGACAAAGTCAGAAATTGTCTCATTGTCATAGAATTTTAGCTTAACAGCAACTAAATCCTTATTGAGAAAGTTGACAAGATTAAGGGCATTTAGATTAGACCTAGCCACTATGCAGGCCCTGGGAAGGTCACAACGGATATCATAAAAAATATTAAAACCTTCAACGTTGAGCCCCATAATTCTACCTTTGTGGTTCCAAGGCTCTTGTATAAGAGCAATATCTAGTTCTCCATCATTCAACCTTTTAGCCATAAGGCCAGAGGCAGCAATGCTGTGACGGAGATTAATTTGACCAACCTTGATTATTGCCACAATTGGTTAGCAATATGAGTAAAGCCAGAATGGCACCTACCTATCCTGGTTAGCTTTAGAAGAAAGATCTCCCTTTAGCAGCTCTATTGCTTCATCAATACCAAGCATAGAAGCTGATGAGTCAGGTTGTAAAGTTACGTCCGACCCAGAGTCCAACCCTAGCTCTGAAAAATCAAGAGCCCTAATTGAACTTACCTTAGAAACAGGGGAATTAGGCTTCCAAGGTTTATCCTTCTGATCCATTTCCTCCTGGTCGTCAGGTTCGACAGAGAGGACATCCGATGTTGTTGGAGCCTCTGCTGCCTTTTTCTTGTTAGGATCATGGATAATCTTAATGACTCTACGATCCACACCAGTGAGTGCACTATAATTGGCCCTCACAATGTCTTCCACGTCTTCAGGCTCAACCTCAAAGATCCATCTAGGGGTGCCCGGTCCCACAGCATTCTGCAGAACCCTCCACCCCATAGACTTCAACCCTGGGGTCAGTCTCTGAAGACGCCACAAGAAGGTGCCCTGATCAGAGAATTGCTCTCTTGTCTTAAAAGCCACCTTCACAGGTTTGGGTAACTCATCAGTGCCTATAACTCTAAGCGTGAGGTCGCCCAAGGATCTGTCATTAAAGTGGCCTCTAATCCACTCTACCGTGTACTAAATACACTGAATAACCAACGGCATTTTTTCGCCAATGGGAATGGCGTCAGTCTGCGCTAAGATCTCCCGGAGGATGTTGTTGGAGTCTCCCAGAGAAAGCTTGTCCGAAGGAAAGTCCTTCCTGACAATAGCAATCTTGGTCGACTTGGCTGCACAAGCGAAGGAAACTCTAGATTGGAGGCTTCCAGTTGGGTCACCCACTTCAGTTTGGCTACCCTCACTAAGAGGAATCACTTCCCTGGACTGGGTTCTCCTCCCAGGAGCAACATCCTCTTTGAACTTCTTACCCCTCTAGGCTGGCACACTGGATGAGGGCGTTGCATCAGAGGACCCAGGCCTCTTAGCTTCGTCACTCGCTTCAGTGGCTCTCATTTTTCTCTACCTTCTTCTCTGGTTCATGGACATTCCAGTGATGCCAGACACACTTTCCTCCGAGTGTCTCTGAAGACCAGAGACTCCTGCAGAGGAAGGGCCTGTACCTTTGGACACCTCACGAGGTACCCTTTTGGGCAACCACTAACATGAATGATGGGCATTGAGCCATGCAAGTCCCTAATGCTGTCCTGCAGCAACTGCTGATTGAGTCCTAGAACGTGCTAGAAGATCCGTTCATTAAATCACAAGTTATTCAGAGTGTTGTTTTTTTTCGGCTCACTGTACATGTATTTTTGTATTGCCTTATAATTATTATTCAATAATGTTAATTTGTGTAATGTTTTTTTTCTAGGAGAGCTATATGGAACCAAGTAAGTAGCGCTGCTCATGATAATGAGAAGGAAAGTGATGATGTTCCAGTGAGAGGTTTAAACGAGCAATTAAGGCATGGAAATCGAAGAGCCAGACCAAGAAATTCACAACATTTTAATCAACCAGCTACAAGAAGAAATGAAAGACAGGGTATTAGCGCTGACTCTCATGAAAATAACAATGCTAGAAATAGAGTAGATCAGAATTTTCCAAGACAAACTTTCCAATCTCGCAACAGACAGAGTCGTTCAGCTCGGCCTCGTGATTACTCAGCTTCATCTAGAGAGGAAAATCAGTATACCCACAAAGCATCTGATTTCACAAATCCAAGCAAACAAAATTTTCCAAGGCAAAACTCTCAATCTCGTAACAGACAAAGGTACGAACAGGAAACCAATGGAAATAATTCTAGAGGCAGGCGAGGTAATCACAATCACAGGCCTCGGCCAGTCAACAAAGAGTTTGGAAATGGCGTGGCCAATCAGCACCATCAAAATACCATGGACCAAGGTGTTAGAAGAAGCGAAAAAAATGATACTGCTTCTCTACCCTCCGAGCAGAAAGACATAGATAACCATCCTCAGTTAAAGGAAATTAAACCAATGGGCTTTGAAAGGCTTAAAGACTTGGTGAATAAGAGTGCAAGCGAAATCGTTCTGACGATTTGCAATTCTAGAAGTGGATTCATTTTGCGTCTAAATACTTCAATGGGGCGTGATATGACAGCATATGTATGGTTAGCTTTAGGTAAATCCGTCTCTGCCCACTTGTCAAAGAATGTAAATAACATGGTTAATATGGTGACTAAGATTGAGAGTTTCATGGAGAGTATATTAACTTTTCTGGCCTCATTTCAAAGATATGATTCTAAAGGTTACCACTTAGATTCTTTGGCTAGTTTAACTGATTTTCTATTTAAATTTCAAACTACCATACCTTCGTCTGCTTCCGATGTTTTATTAATTACATTGCCACTCTTAGAAAAAACGTGTCAAAAATTCTTAGAAAGTTCAGGCGAACGTTATGCAGAGGTTTTTAAAAAGCTGAGAGATATCGAAGAGCAAAATAATTTGTTTTTGAGAAAATATACGCCTGCAGAAGTGAAAAAGTTATCTAATAAAGAGCGATTACAACTTATGGATCCACCTGAAAACTATAGATCTTTGCCTGTGTTACCGAATATGGATGATTTTAATATTGTAAAAGCATTCATTCGACCAAATATCACTAATGGTTGTTATACGGATTCAGAACACTATCTTGACGTGCAGTACCGTTTGTTGCGTGAAGACTATGTCAAGCCATTACGTGATGGAATTACTGAATATTTAAGATTAAAGAAAAGTGGGAAACCTGTTAAGCAGTGTAAAGATTGTAGAGTTTATGAAAATGTGCAAATCGTTGATCAGCAATTTGTTAATGGTGGTCTTGTACATATGGCTTATTTCAATGATTCAAGTTTTTCTAGACTAAGATGGGAATACAGTAAGCGTTTTCTCACAGGATCTCTTCTTTGCTTCAGTGCAGATGGCTTTCAAAGCATGCATTTTGCTTCAGTTGCTCGAAGACTACCACAACAACTTAAAAGAGGACTTCTACTTCTGCGGTTTGAATCCTTATCTGATGAAGTGTTGAACTTTGGTTCTGATAATAAATTTGTTGTCATAGAAACAACAGCTTACTTTGAGGCATATCGACACAACCTCAGTGCTTTGCTTCAACTCAACGAAAATAATCTACCAATGAAACGTTACGTTGTTGAGGTCAAAAAAGAAGTTAATGCACCTCAATATTTGACCAGGGCATCTACCTTTGATATGCGACCTCTTCTGATGCCAATGAATGGAGATTTTATCCAACACATTGCCTCTGAAAATAATGATATTCTTACTACTTATGAATTCCCACCTGAAATGAATTTTAAGGCTAGATCTATCAATGTTCTTGATGACAGATATTGGCCTTCTCATTCTGAATTAAAGCTTGATCCAACTCAGTTCGCTGCGTTAAAGGCAGCAGTTACTAAAGAATTCGCTGTTATTCAAGGTCCACCCGGAACTGGAAAAACGTACATAGGATTACGAATAGCCCAATTACTTTTGCATAATAAGCAAAAATGGGAGACCGAAGAAAATCATACTCCAATTTTGGTTGTGTGTTACACAAATCATGCTTTGGATCAATTTTTAGAAGGTTTGTGCGTGTTCACTCAAAAAGTGGTTCGCGTAGGTGGTCGGTCAAATAATGAAGCACTTGCAAAATTTCAACTTAATAATTTAAAACGTATTTTGGAAGATAAAAGGCAAGTTCCCAACTACATTTTTTCAAATCTTAAGCAAAAGCAATCTGAATTATATTCAATAAAGAGAGACATTGACAGAATAAAGTCTTCGGTTGAAGAGAGCGTTAAAAATGTTTTGGGTGAATCTCAATTAAAGAACTGCATGCTAGAACTTCATTATCGTAGTCTTAAACAGTGTGATCTTAAAGATAATGGGAATTTGATACTGGATTGGTTAGAGATTACAGTCAGATCGGTTAAAACATTAGATGATAATGATGAGTTAGATGATTCTGATAATGAAGAAATCGGTGATTTTGATGTTAAAAGCATCTTTAAAGATCAGCTAATTGATATTCCTGTGAGTGAAGGAAATCAGCTGAATTTAAATTTTGACAAGAGTTTACTAAGAAACGGTATAAGATATGAACAGATTATAGCACAACATCTTTCCGAAATTATTGAAATTTGCAATCCATTTTCTGAAGTGCAAGCATATAATATTAAGGATGTCTGGAGTTTGGACTTAATTTATCGTTGGAAACTTTATAGGTTTTTTGTCAACTGCTATATTCAGCGTAAACAATCGGAGTACCTTGAAGCAATGAAGGTTTATTTACGCCAACGTGAAGAATTTAGATCCGATAAATTCGAACTGTTGTGCTCTAAGCAATATATCCAGCACTTAAAAAGTGATCTACAAGGATCGTTATCAAAAATATTAGATGAAAACTCTCTTAAAGATGTAATTCCGCCATGGCATTTAAACTCACTCTTTAACACAAACATTAATTTAAAAGGAAGCTCCCTTGTGTGTCATTGGCTGGAACTCAGTATTGAAAACCCAAATGGTTTAAGAGCTCGCTTCGAGCTAATTCGTAATCTTAAATTTATATCAAACCATCTAAAAAGTTTTCATGAAAACACTGGAAGCAAAGAAAATGTTGATGTCGATGATGAAATCGATAGCGAAGGGGAGGCCGATATTGAGTATATTGAAGCTGAGAGAGATATTGACAGTGAAGAGTTCTTTGATGTATCATTTGACATCCCCAGTTTGAAGCAGAGACAAAAACTAATTCCCACTGTTGATGACGGATGGAAAGTCCAAGGAGGTGAAAGAAAGCGAAAACATTATATTAAAAATAATTTGCGTAATAATGACGTAATGTCTGAAGAAGAGGCGAAAATTGTAAGTGATGTTTGGCGTCTGCCGTTGAAGCGGCGATGGTGTCTCTATAAATATTGGTTGACTTGCTATATTAATGAAAAGAATAGAGAAACTTTGGAGTTTCAAAACCAATTGCGTTCAATACATGAAGAAATCTGTGAACTTCGAACTGAAGAAGATATGTATATTTGTCGTCAAGCTGATGTTGTTGGGATGACAACTACAGGAGCTGCTAAATACCGACAGATCGTCCAAAATTTAAATCCAAAGATTGTCATTGTAGAAGAGGCAGCAGAAATTCTAGAAAGCCATTTAGTTACTTCTCTTGCACCTGGAACGGAACATGTGATATTAATTGGAGATCATCAGCAATTAAGACCTAGTCCTACGGTACATTTACTGTCTGTTCAATATGAGTTAAACGTATCATTGTTTGAAAGAATGGTGCAAAACGGAATGGATTGCCATCAGTTGGGCATTCAACACAGAATGAGACCTGAAATCGCAACCCTTCTAGTTCCACATATATATGAAAAATTAGAAAACCATGAGTCCGTGACGAAATACGAGAACATTAAAGGAGTTATGAAAAATGTATTTTTCATTACACACAACTATTCAGAGCAGAATGAAAATGATTCTAAAAGCCATGTTAATGAACACGAAGCCAAATTCTTGTTAGGTCTCTGTAAATACTTTGTTCAACAAGGGTATGATCCCTCACAAATAACTGTTCTTACTACCTATTCAGGCCAGTTGTTTGCTATGAAAAAAATAATTAGCACGAAAAAAATAATTAGCGGTGTTAAAATCACAGTTGTCGATAACTATCAGGGTGAAGAAAACGATATTATTTTGATATCTTTTGTTCGAAGTAATGAAGAAGGCGAAATCGGATTTTTGAAAGAGCCAAATCGTGTATGCGTGGCACTGTCTAGAGCGAAAAAAGGGTTTTTTTGTATTGGAAATTTCCAATTGCTGGCAGAAAGAAGTAATTTGTGGAAAAACATCGTCTCCCGCTTGCAAAGCAATCAAGCTATTGGAGCATCTCTTCAACTAGTGTGTCAAAATCATCCTAACATAAGTAATGATGTGGCGCACGAAAAGGATTTTGATTCTGTGCCTGAAGGTGGATGCACTCGCAACTGTGAAGCTCGTCTTTCATGCGGACATACGTGCCCTTTAATGTGCCACACATATGACAAAAATCATGAATTAACAAAGTGCTTGAAACCTTGCAATAAAAAATGCTCCTATGGTCATCCTTGTAATAGAAAATGCTCTGATGAATGTGGCTTATGCAGGACTCTGATTATGAAGACTGTAGAATCCTGCCGTCACAAAGTGAAAGTTAGGTGTTACCAGAGTGAAGAGGAGATAGTTTGTGACAAACCGTGTGAGAAGATCCTGAGTTGTGGTCATACGTGTTTGAAAAAATGCGGGGAGAGTTGTTCTGTTAAATGTGAACGAATATGCACAGTTCGATCTGTCATTTGCGGTCATGACATTAAAGTAGAATGTTTCCAGTCAAAGAATATAGATTTATTAGCTGACAAATGTACTGAGCCTTGTCGAATGCAACTAGCTTGTGAACATATGTGTAAGGGAAATTGTCGTAGGTGCCATCAGGGTCGATTACATGTAGCGTGTCTTCAACCGTGTAAGAGAATTTTAGTATGTGGTCATGAATGTAAATCACCCTGTTCAAAAAGTTGTCCACCCTGTAAGAGACAATGTGAAAATAGATGTGTTCACAGTAAGTGCCCTAAGGAATGTGGTGAACCTTGTAAAGAGTGCACTGAACCTTGTGAATGGCAGTGTATTCATAAAAAATGTGATCGTCTGTGTGGACAACTATGCAATCGTAGTCCTTGTGATAAACCTTGTTCGAAAATATTAAAATGCAAACATGCTTGTATTGGACTATGCGGCGAACCTTGCCCAAAACAATGCAGAAATTGCAATCGCAAGGAAGTAACTGAAATATTCTTAGGTTTTGAAGGTGAACCTGGTGCAAAATTTATCTGCCTTGAAGATTGCAAACACATATTTGAGATAAACGGTATTTCTCAATGGATGAGGACATCTCAGGATTCCGAGTCGAGACAAATTCTAATGAAGTCGTGCCCCAAATGTACTACTGTGATAAGGAAAAATTTGCGATTTGGTAATGTTATTAAATCGTGTCTTCAAGATATCGAAAAAGTTAAAATTCTGACGTATGGTGACAAGAAGAGGAATATATTACGAGCTGTAAAGCTTGCGGAGCGTTTAAAATCATCCTCTGTTAGATACGGTAAATCTTTGTTAGATATCTGTGCTCCTCTTTTGAAAGTCTTGAATTCGGGTAAATCTCGAAGCGTCCAGGAGCTAACAGTAATGGAAAATATAATATCAGTTGGCGAAATTTTTGTAAAAGCACTTGAAGGCAAAGATATTGTTATGCTTACCCGCGTTGATAGTGACAAATTAATCAAAAACACAGTTTCAGAATTTAAACAATACTTAGAAAAGACGAGTCTTTGGTTAATTTCGTTTTTTCGTGATGAATACTTAACAGCTTCCGATCAACAGCTACAGGAATTGTTGTGGGAAGTTCGACGAATGGAATCGGCTACTAAATTTTTGCAGTACATTGCAGGACGAACTATAATAAATTATGATTCTCATTTTCGTAGCATCATTGATTGTCTTATGACCTATTCTCCATTCTGCGAATCAAGCCTGGCTGTTTTTTCCGAGGAGTTCAAAGCTTTAACCGAAAAGTATGGAGGAGCAGTCATCAACGTTACTGAGGATGAAAAGAAATCTATATTGAAAGCCATGGCTCTTACTAAGGGGCATTGGTTCCAGTGTCCTCGAGGTCATGTTTATTGTATCACAGAGTGCGGTGGTGCAATGCAACAGAGTACTTGTAATGAGTGTGGTGAACAAATTGGAGGTATGAATCACGCTCTACTTCCAAGCAACCGGGTTGCAACTGATATGGATGGTTCTCCTCATGGTGCCTGGTCCGACGCCATGAACATGGACAACTATCGTTTCTAATGTTTAATATTGTGATTTTTAATACCCTATAAATTGTTTTTACAAATTACAATGAATGCTAGAATTGGAAACATTTTTATGCAAGTTGAATGAAATGTTCAACTAGAATATTTTTTTAAATAAATGATTTGATATACTGGCCAATTAAATTATTTTAATTTATAGCAAAGGTAGCAAAGGAATATCTGTTATGAAAGTACAGACCTTTCAGTTGCCAGGTTTATAGTTTTTGAAATTAACAGTTTTTGATAATTTTCAAATTTCTATGTGTAATGAATAATTTGCCTTGTTATGATTGTTGACAGTTACTGGTTAACTGATAAATTTTTAATGGCTTGTATTAAAATTATCATTATGCAACTAATTTTTCTTTACTGTTTCCTGTTATTGAATGTAAAAATGAATTTCTATTTTAGTTTTACTTAAGCATGCAAGTCAAGTGTTATAACTCAACTCAAGAAAAATAAATAGATATTTTACTTTTACTGACACTTTTTATTTGTTTCTAAAATTAGTAAGTAGAAAACTTAGTTTCTAATAGGATGATTTTAATGAGAGGTGCATAATTTTTCATTTGTTGTGCACTGTGGTATATATATCATGAGAGCGCTTTTTAAACTACGTTTTCCTCCCTACCAAACTCACCTGTTGAAGGGGGGGGGAGATGGATAATTCCAAATATTCTTTTAATTCAATCCTTTTTATTTTATTTTCGCAAATAAACTATTAATGAACATTTACTCTATTCGGCCGTATCGTATTCAAACATGTAAAAAACGAGGCTATCATTCAATCACAATTTGAGTTATAAGGCCTACGCTTTATCTCTGGAACTAATGAAGTGAATCAAATTGTTTTTACACGTAATCGTATAGATGAATTTTTTCATTTATTTAATCGACGTGATTTTAAAATAGCTAAAATCAAAAGTTGCAAGGACTGATTACTTCTTGGGAAATCAAAATTTAAAAATGCGTCTTCTTGAAAATGGAGAAATAAGCAAAAAAGAAAATTATCCTGTAGCCTTAACTTTCGCTTGCCTAAACGTCTTAGTACGGGAAAATGATATCACCAAATCAAAAGTTGGAATTTTGTTGTTTAAAGTGTTTTGCTCACTGCACACCAAAATCGTAAGTAAGTTTATTATTTTGGACATATCTGAAAATACGTGTGCAAGAAAAGGGACATAGTCTGAAAAGCATGTTTAAGGAAAGGAAATAGGAGACACAGTTCTAACTGCGGTTTTTTAAGGAAATTGGCATGGCTGTAAATGTACAGTCCGCAAAAAAAAAAACGAATCACCCTGAATAANATTATTTTGGACATATCTGAAAATACGTGTGCAAGAAAAGGGACATAGTCTGAAAAGCATGTTTAAGGAAAGGAAATAGGAGGCACATTTCTAACTGCGGTTTTTTAAGGAAATTGGCATGGCTTGAAATGTACATTTAAGTAATTAGACATAGCTATTTTTAAGAAAAAAGATGGACATAGCCCTAAATACATGTTTAAAGTTTATGCAGATCCAAACAGGTGTTTAAATTAATGGATAGGATTTAAAATTGGTATTTAAGAGTAAGGACATATCTATTAAAAAAAAAATATATGGAACGCATTTAAAAAAGACATCACAGTTGATTCCGTTTTTCAAATAACTGTTGTGAATCAGGGTGGCCACCCACCTGGAAAACCTGGAATTATCAGGGAATTTTTTTTATACTGGAAAAAACCTGGAAATATCAGAAATTTGGATAAAAGCCTGGAAAATCAGGGAATTTGAAAGAAAAGCTGGAAATTTTTTCTTTGATAATTTTTTTAATTTCACTACTTTAAATTATTTACTAATTTTCTTAAGCTAAATTATTTCATCCATAATAGCCACTTTTTTTTGAACGGAAATGTATCGCCAAACCGTTGAAATATCATCAACTTAGCGATACTTTGCTTGCATCAAAATTTGCTCCATTACAACTCTGTCAAACTAGAATACCACATTAAATTCTCCCACGGTTGCTAAACGAATGCAGAAACCTTTGACCGCTATGGGACTGTGCAATTTAGGAAAGATTCTGGTGTAGGTGGAAAAAGATTTAGGNCAACCAATCGCACATTTTTTTTACAATCGCTAGCAGCAATGTTTGTCGATAAATTGTTACAATTGTTGCATTAATGTTATTTTTTTCTATTTCATTTTAACCTTTTATAACATATATTAAAAAAAAAATTTTTTAAGAACCAACTATATATTAATATTTCATTTTACTCTTTTGTTGGTCAATAAATGATTTTTAATTCAAAATTTTGTACGAAAACATTTGAAAAATAAATAAAAAAAATCTTGCCAAATTGTCAAAATAAATTATTTTTTTCAAGATGATATGTTAAAAAAAATAACATTTTGAATAAAATATTTTGTAATAAAGACACTTTTCTTGTACACATCCTACACTTTATAAGAAAAAAGAAACAAAAACCTGGAAATTTTAAGGTTTTTATCTGGAAAAATCAGGGAAATTTGAAATCTGATTTGAGTGGCCACCCTGTGAATGTTTTATTTAATATTTTTTTAATAGAAAATATTGCTACGAAAACTACATAAGGTGATTAAAATTGTTATAAAGTAAGTGAGATAGTATCTTTTCTTCGATGTCTCCAAAAAAAAAGTGTTGCATTCTAAAACGTAAACATGTTTTGGTGCCACATAATTTATTTTATTTTTTTAAATTTAGTTCGGAACTTAAAATACAGATTTTTTAAAAAAAGGAGGAAAAACACGAGATTTTGATATTTGCGAAGATATAATATTAAAACAAATCACTTGATCACTATCTTGAATAAAGACAGCTTTAAACATTTGACAGACTTTTGTGGCCAAGATGTCCCAAACGATAGTTCTTTTATTATTTAAGTACATACAAATACATGATAAACCTTTTATTATTTAAATACATACTAAGAACTAGCTTTTCGCCCACTATTCTAGGTGATGTGTTTATTTCTCCTCCTTTAAGTACACATCCCGCGATTGGGTTGTACCTTTTCGAAACGGAAATGGTACCTTGGTATTTACTATGTACCCAATGGTTTTATCTTTTCGCAGCAAGTTTTATGAAGATCTCTGAAAAAAAAAACTTAAAAGTAAATGTTTCAGTTGGAAAATATTTCTGAAATCTGTTTGACGTATTCTGCAGATCATTGACTTTGATTAGGTATTTTTAATTCAGTACAATCTGAAATTGGTGGTATGTATACAGAAATTTAAAACAAAACGAAAGTGAAAAAGGTAAAAAGTATATTTAAGTAGTTTTGCAATAAAAATTGGTATAGCAAAGTATTAGGAAAACAATACGTTTTCGTTGGAGTGAAATGACCCCCTGACTCAGAATTTTTATTAAACTTACTTTTAATACCCATCTCTTATTATTTTGTATTAATTTAGGTCAAAATAAGTGAAAGATATTATATTTAGCATTGTTATGATTTACGGTTATGAAATGCAGAATGAAACAGTGTCTTTTTCTGCCTTAAATAGTAAAATCTTCCAAACAATAATTTTTCAAATTTGAAACTTATTTGCAGTGACTTAGATTTCAGATAAACAGTTATTCGTCATTGAAATTTTTTCAATTTACAAAATCAATTATTGATAAAATTTTTGAATATGAATGAGAAATTTTTTTTAACTACTTTTTTTAAGGATTTTATATTTTAGTACAAATATTATTCCGGTAATCGAGCAGAATTTCTTCGTAACTATTAGACTTTTTTTGTACAATCAAAAAATACCAAATTATATTTTTGCGTATTCCCCTTCATGCAGGACTGGAGTCTGGGGCTTCTATCATAGCTCTCCATTTCGCTCAATTTGTTGCCAGATATTTTTCCGCTATTCATGCCATCCTTATGGTTTTCAATTCACTTAGAATCATCCTGCTCCAAGTATTTTTAAGTTTTCCTCTTTTTCTATTGCCCTGAGGGGTTTCCAATCAAAACTTACTTTACTCTAAATTTTTCTGGTGATATATATATATATATATGGGTCATTCTCACAAAAACAGTCATTTTCATGTCCCCAGTATGTATATTTTATGTTTGTTTTACAACTTACGAAAAAAAATTTTTCAGGGAAAGTGTCCTTCANAAATGACAGTTTTCGTGAGAATGACCCATATATAAAAGAGATACTGGTATCCCATCTGCTTCAAATTATGAGGTGAAGCAAGAGAATGAGAAATAGAAAGCTTATAACAACGAAAAATAATATAAGATATTTGAAGAATTTAAAGTCTTATTGTTTATTGCAATTGATCTTATATTTTTACTTTTATTCCATTTTCTCACAAAGATAATTTTTAATTATCTTTATCTTTTTTAAAACGCAATAGATATGTGGTCAGGGAATTTTATGCTAGAAAATGTCGCAACAATAAAAAAAGTGTACGTAACGAGAAATAAAAGTTCATTATAAGCATTCTTAGTTCAATACGTATTATGATGGAAAAAAAGACTCCATCCCCTTGCTCGCACCGTTTACCAACTTCTATGATTGCTTTTTATTCACCATTGTTTTTTTTTTCATTTTTTTTTCACCTTCTTAAAAGTTGATGTTTTTCAAAAATATTTTTTATTTCATTGTACTCCTTGTACATTTTTCTACACGTCTTCGTAATTGAAAGTTTCTAATTATATAGTTTTTCAGCAGCAAGACAAAATATAACGTAAAGCAAAAAAGTTTTGAAAAATTAGTATAAAAAGCGAATAAAATTGCATCAGTTGAACAAATTGGAATTTCGCAAAAAATTCGTTTTAAGTTCATAAAGGAAAATGTCTCTTTCAGTACGTTAAATATCAACTCTGAAGTTGCATTTCTGTGGCCTACAGAGTAGCCTATGTGGTATTTTTTACGAGTTTAAAAAGTTAACTATTCTCGAGTTAACTATCAATTATTAGTTTTTTTCAATCCATCGTACTCTCTGTATTTTTTTCAACACGATATCAAATTCGCACGTTTCCTTCAGTTATTACGCAGCAAAACAAATTGTATAATAAAGTTAATTACCAAAAAAATATCTGTATACACATTGGAACTTAAGATTTTTTAATATAGAGTGACAAACTTTTTTGACAATAATATCAAAGTAGAGCTAGGTTTAATTTTAAGTAAAAAAAAAAATGATTGTAAAGTATCGAAACGATTCTTTTATATTTTTTGCGGAAACTATTTGCCCTTAGGAAATCCGCGATCAAATCTGAATAAATAATAGAGGTTTGCCGATTTCACGCCCCTCTGAGACGCCCCTCTTGATGTATGGAACTGGATCGAACAACCTCCCTTTTCTGGGGGGATGGGGTGGAAAATGGTTATTGTTTTAAACTTCTTATCTGCCAACTGTTGTTAGCGTAGAGATTAAACTTCCGTTTTGATTTTTGAGAATAGAGAAGTCAACCCATATTTGATCCGCTTTGGTAATAAAAAAAAAGTTTT